AAAAAGTATAAAAACTACATGATTTATTGCTTCCGATTCTCTACTGTAGAGAACATGATGCAGTTGGAGAAACAACTTTCTGTGAATTGCATTTGCATTGTCCTGAATCAGCTGAGCGATACTGAATGTTTCTGAATGTGCTCCTTTTCTTTTGGCTGGTACATTTGCTGTATTGCAGTTGAGTTGCATTTTAGTGATTCAGCACAATTCATCCTTTGGCTTTCTTTACAACCCCCTTGGTATTTGCAGGCCACTGTCATTTTGCACACAGCACACAAACTGTATTTACATGAAGTCCTGCAGTTTCCTGCAGCCCAGCATACAGAACAATATCCTAATTATTATTAGGATATTAGAAGTACTATTAAAAGTGCATTCAAAAGTTATTTTATTCAGGCAATAAATACTGTTAAATCCATTGTTAATTTTCTCATTTTGTGATGCAGACACAGTGTGGACTCTTCAAAAACTCTTCCTCTGATTGACTCCAGCAGTCTGAGTGTATCGATACGTTATCAGACTTTCATGAAGTTGGACGAGTTGGTTTGCAGTAACTCTTGACAGAGCTGGAAGATGAACTATAGCAGCAAAAGCAACACAAAAAAGAGGTGCAGTGGGCCCTGGAGCAGTTGTGGACAATGATTTATTTGTGCACAGAGCCGATGAGTGAATGGTAGAAAATAGCTACATTTGTTTTTTGCACTTGCTAAGACATAGCCAATTATGCAAGTTTACACATAGGAACGGATTTCTGAGCATTTAAAAATGATCATGTTCTGCTTTAATTGTTTGAACCCACGTACAGGAAGGCAACAGGAACTCCATGGTAAAAGTAAAATAACTTGAATTTATTTTCAATAAACAAAATAAATGCTGGGGCAGCAAACTTGCTTTTACAGAGGGAGACAGAACAATACAGCCTTCCCAGGACAACACAGACAACTGACAGGACATCAGCTGAATAAATAGATACACTGATGAGACATAATGACAAACACCTGGGGTGATTAGAGACGGAGACAGGTGTGACAGGACCAGGAAGAGAAACACAGGGGAGTGCAGGAGATCAGAAACCCAGAAAACCTCACAAAAATAAGGAGCTGGATAAGAGACAGCTTTTGTATTTCTGTTGGGGTGATTTATTTTGTAAGAAAAGCACAACAATGACGCCTCAATGTCTTCAAAGTAAACTAAATTCATTCTTTGTAATGAGAAATGACAGCTGCTGCTGTCCTAAAAAAACAAAATGCAGCTCGTCTTATTTTTCTGCATGTGCAGTTCCACTTCACTTCAAACTCGGGTCCTCTATGAGAGGCCTTGAAGCTTGAGGGTTCCCCGCAGTATCTTAGCTGTTCCTAGGACTGCGATGTTCTGGACAAACATCTCTGAGGTTGTTCCTGGGGTCTGTTGAAGCTATTCTTCCAGTTTGTTGGTCACAGCCTCAGGTACTCTGAGGACCATTGGCACCAATGAGGCCTTGATTCTTCACAACTTTTCAGTTTCTTCTTTCAGACCTTGGTATTTCTTCAGCTTCTTGTGCTCCTTCTTCCTGATGTTACAGTCACTTTGGATTGCTGCATCTATCACTACTGCCTTCTTCTGTAGCTTACACCAAAATGTTCACTTGGTTAGTCATCACCTGTTTGTCTGTCAGGATCTAGAAGTCCCACAGTATCTTAGCCCTTCCATTCTCCTCCACCACCGATGGAGTCTTCTACTTTGACTGCTGGACCTCCAGTCCATAGTCAGGACAAATGTTCTTGTATACTATTGCAGCAATAGTGTAGTGATGATACATTATACTACAATACTATAATAAACAATAGAATATAAGTATGTTTGAATAGCAGAATTATTAGCAAAAAAAACCCATACAATGTTTCAGTCAGATTTAGGGTAATCTAAAATGAGCATATGAAAGCACTCTGAAAGCAAAGGTGGTTATTGTTGTTGTTGTAGGTAAATTCTTGAATGGAATTTTTAATATGTGGGCAATCAGTGTGGGAAATAATATATTTCTAGCAGCCACTGAGATTTAGCTTCTGAATAATAAATATTTTTGTTGACAAATCTTGTTTGAAATAATACTTTTTTTTTTAATTTCACTGGGAAGTATAGTACCTTTCATCTAAAACATATTCCTAAAATTAAAATGGATTTCGTAATAGGTCATTTAGAAATATTTAGAAATCAAGTGAGGGCAGTAAAAATGTTTTTGTTTGATAAAGTTCAATATACTTAACAATTGTTTTAAAAAGTGTTGTGTTTATATTTGAAAGGTTTAGTTTAATGTTAAAAAATGATCAAAGTTGATGTCCTATGGCACAATGATATGAGTCTAGAAGAAAACGACAACACAAAACCAAGGTGAAGGACTGAGGACCCAAAAGCCAACACGAGAGTAGACAGTGATGATGAAAATATTAGTTGTAATTAACAAACTGAATAAAATACGAATAAACTCTAACATAATAGAAAAAGTAGTACAGTAACTGAGAATGCAGAGCTTTGACAATGGATCAAGGAGAACCAGGACAACACGGGGAGATAATAGGAGGTACGAACCAGGTGTGGTGATTACAACACAGAATGGGTGTGACAGAAAAAGAGGACAAGGAAAAACCCTTCCCACACTCTTGCAATATTCTAAACAATGTTTCTAAACTCTAAATGCTCTAAAAGAGCACAGCATGTCATGATCTCTCTCTCTCTCTGCCATCTGCCAGCGCGCTCGGCCATGCCCACTTCTCTGCTGCAGTATTTTCTACATTCGCCTTAGAATCTAGCTGGTTTTTGTTACTTTTCTTTTTTTAGCCATCCTATTTGTTAAAAAAAAATTGTATGACTTTTTATAACTGTTTACTGTTGTCGCTGTTGTCCATTGTTGTCATCGTTCTTTGTTGAAATCAGGTCTCTCTTGTAAATGAGTCCTCGAGGCTCAATGGGATTTACCTGTCTAAATAAAGGTTGAATGAAAAAAAAAAACATTCCTTGAGGCTTTTGGCTGCTTTCTTTCAGATCTTGTGATTCTTGAGAAAGTCTGTTCAGAAGTTGGAGTTACTGTTCATACAATACACACACAGTTTTGAGGCATGTACACACACTTTAACACATGAAGAGAAACAACGCTGTGCGTCATATCATTCAATCAACCTTTATTTAGACAGGTTAATCCCACTGAGCCTCGAGGACTCATTTACAAGAGAGACCTGATTTTAACAGAGTGATGACAACAATGGATAACAACGACAACTATAGACGATCATAAAAGAGGCATACAGATTTTCTTTAATTTTTTTTAACAAGATGGCAAAAAAAGTAGCAAAAACAGCTAGATTATAAGGTGATGTAGAAAACTAAAAACAGGAACATGTCTGCATTGGTTCTTGCCAGGAACAGATGCTTAAAGCTACTTAGAGAGGTCAAGGTCGAGAGCTTCAGATCATTTTGCAAGATATTCCAGGAAACAGGAGTGGAGTAGGAGAAGGCCCTTTTGCCTAGTTCAGTCCACACTGAGGGAACACTGCAGGTAATAATGTCCTGAGAGCGCACGCTGTAGCTGCACTCACGCAGAGACATGTAGGAGGAGATGTATGAAGGCAGCAGACCAAGAAGTGATTTA